ATATAGCGTTTCGTACAACAATGATTGAATCAAACATTTGAGCAGGATTTCGCACTATAGGGCTTGTTCTGTACGATCTGAACTATGTGATTTCAAAGCTTGATGTTTGACTTCATATGCTAACGCCTATACCAACTCTACCTATGATCTAGGAACCAAAAAACTCCATGCAATGTACTTAAGACACAATCTTAATCAACATACCTTAAGGACCAGATTGTACGACATTAGAATAATATGACAGGTTGCTTAGGATGACAGGTTGCTTGTGAACTACGTTAAGGCTATTAGCAAAGCATACTAAAGATATACAAGGGCTAAAAAAATAGAACTAGGTAAGCTAATATCTATATCCTTATTTAGTTATATAATAATACTAACATTTATAGATAATGCTACTAGGTGGTCTTCTACTTATTATATGCTTAATAACTTTTTAAATCTTAAAGAACCTATAGAGATTGTTATTGCAACATCTAAAACTAAGGTATTTAAAGATAAAGCATTAGGTTAAAAGAATAAGACTACTTAGTTTTAGAGACTTATAAAGAAATATTCGAAGTCTTACTAAAATTACAAGGGAAAGAATACCCTACTTTATATCACTCCTTACCTTTAATAAGGCAAATATTCCAAAATTTATCTTCTATAGAAGATAAAATAGCAACAGTAGGTCTTATATCCCTTTTATATCTAACTTTATACTAATATTAATATGTGGCTCTAAAATAGATATTGCTATTAAGAAAGGTACTGCTAAATTAAGGAAATACTACTCTCCTAATCATTATGAAGAGAAGAATAAACCTTTATTTATAGCTTTACTACTAGACCCCCATTTAAAGAAAATAGGGCTAAGTAAGCTATATTATATACAACAAGATGAATATAAAACTATAGAAGCTATAAAGGTATGTTAATAGAGTATTAAGAGAGGAATTTAATAACGAATTTGGAGTATATGAGACAAATGAGGCGGCATACATAGTGTGATAATGTAGTTATCCTTGTAGTAAAGCTCAAAATACCCTATATATTCCTATATATATGTTCTAGCCTAACTGCGAATAAGTAGTATTCACGAATAGGCTAGCCTAACTAAATAGCTACCTGACATCAGGATAATGCAGAGATGTTACTATCAGGGCCGCCTATTCAAGACCAATTTCACGACGAGACCAGCAACCGAACATCCATCCGTATATCTCGTTACCAGGCCTACCCCTATTGCCCGTCCACTGGGACTAAGTGCCCTGACCTGAGAATATAGATCAGACTGGATCCCGACGGCTGTCAAACCCAGCAGTAAATGGCATCCGCCCTCTCATACCCGCCACACAGGAGAGACGGCGGAGGCAATATACTACCTTTCGCCGCTCTGGAGTACGCACTGTGCCTTGCCAATATCTCCACGGAAGGCGGGATCTGCATAAGAAGGCATGCCTCACGCGTGCAAGTAAAAATGCTTGTTGCATGTGCCGCCGAGGCCTCCCCTTGAGCCTACTCCCCAGTGAGGATAAGTGGGAGGAACAGCCATGAATGGTTGAGCAACAAGTAAGCAGCTCAATTTAAACCAGGCCGCCGTTGATAATATTCGCCACATCCACCAAACTCCCCTTGTAACGCGATGGATCTTCATGCCTGTAGCTTGTGACTCAAGCAGACGGACCGTATAGAGATAGCAAAGAGATCAGGAGAGGTCTGACAGCGACCGCGACATATAAAATGACTTACATGGGCAAATACGAGGATCCCCAGCCTCAAATTCGCCCCAGGGGGGTTTCGTCCCCAGGACCTGAGCGACAATCCTAGTCAGGAGATTACTGCCACTACAAGGCCCACCACCTCCCATCATCACCTCTTCCACTGCTATCCCTTGAAAATAGTGGCGAGCTGGAGGTAATGTAAAAGGAGACAATACATGTGACCCATGGGTCACTTGACCTTCAACTATCACGTCTGATTTTGTAGGTGTACTTTTACCTTTAACCAGTGACTAACTTGCTCGTTGCCCACACATTCGTAAAGCTCTGATTTATTTCGCCTATTAGACACCGCTGTGAGTCAAAAAAAGCCCTGGCTATGAAACAGTTTCGGGGAACATCCCAAAGCTGTTGCCTAGAATTCCCTTTAGGCGCCAGCGACCACGTGCAAGACGCCTGGACGTATTTTTGGTCCTTTTTGAAGTTCCACAGTGTCGTTGGTGAGCGATCAGAGAGCCTCAGTGACATCGGTTGCGATCATCTCGTTATTGGTTGGCTGTAAATGGTGAACCGCGTCCGACGGTCTGGCCAAAATGATTGGACGCGCCGAGCGTCACATCCCACATATCACAAAATGGCTTTTGTCATATGCGCCGAAAAAAGGAATAATCGTCGTCACCAAATTTTCGCTTCGCTCAAGGTGGGAGGAAGCGATGTGCGCGGTTTCGCAATATGTAGGCTTAAGTACCACTACATAGTAATTTATATGTAAAGGTACATAAATCAATCATTGTTAGAACTAATCACTTCATCACGCCTACGCTCACTCCCACACTCACTCCTCGCACTCTCACTCCCACGCTCACTCCCACTCTCGCTCTCGCACTCACTCTTAGCAGCTTCTAGGTCCTGAATTGGGTCCCGATCCTCTATAGGAATTAGGTTACTAGCTTAAAGAAGAGCTTTTACCCTCTTTTTCCGGCCCTAGGCCTCAACCCCAGCTCTTGCAAGTGTTTGAGAACAAGCCCTTGAGACAACACTCTATCCTGGCCTCTGGTTATTAGCCTGGTTTCCAGCCTAGCAGGCTACCTAGCTTCTTTGGCTACAAGCCTTTCTAGGCCTAAAGATTGTAGGCATGAGTAGCTTAGAGCTCACCTCTAAACTGAAGCTAGGCCTAGCTTTAGCTTGCCTGCTTCTTCAACTCCTAAACCTAGCACCAAATACTAAAGCCCTCTAGAACCTAGTGTTTCTAGTACTATAGCCCCTCTTCCACATCCTGAAAAGTAGAGGGTTTAGGTTTAGGTGTAGAAACCTATATTAGTAGGGTAGTGTCATACTGACATTCGTTGCACTCAGTTTGCTATCAAACTCAAGAGCAAACTTGGAAATCTCCTCCTCAAACCTACAAGTCACTATACATATTTTGGCTTATCACACCAACAACAAGAGCAATACTACTCAACGATTGCTACAACCATCTATGATGTCATACTGACATTCGTTGCACTCAGTTTGCTATCAAACTCAAGAGCAAACTTAGAAATCTCCTCCTCAAACCTACAAGTCACCATACATATCTTGGCTTATCACACCAACAACAGAAGCAATACTACTCAACGATTGCTGCAAACTCTTCTACTACATCTGTTTATGCTACATACATCACGGCATATCATTTGGACACTCATTGAACAAGTTATTAAGAAAATCTCCTCCTTAAGGGGGTGGGCCAATACTACCACATGGCATATCTCTACCAACTAGAGGCCTAGGAACATGAACGATAGCTCTAGAAGCTTCTACAACCCTCTATGATTCATTACACGTCATCGCTCCTTAGTTACCCACAAGATTGGTTAAGTTATGACATAATTTGTCTATAGGTACTCTGACCTTGGACCTCCTTTTCACTTCCTATAGGCTAGGAACCCAAGAGATGGTTCTATGGGATTCTCTTACGTTCACTACATGATTAGCAAGCTAGTTGTGGGTCGCACTTGATTTCTAATACATTTACCAAGCCTGGTTAGTCATGGAAAGTCATGGAAAATGAGAGAACTACACTCCTTTGGCATAAATAGGATTGCCCTTTCCTTAAGAAAGGGCAAGCAGGCAATACAGTAAATCGACTAGCACATACTTCTACGTCTTTTCCAAGCTTCCAAGCATTGATCTTGTTATTCTCTGTTTTTTGAAAAGTCAGTGAGGTGCTAACCTCTGACTTACCCCTGAGTTCTCAGACTCAACATTTGTTGCAACTTGTCTAAACCACTTCACCACATCATACACCTGATTGCTGCGTTGTGGAATAGTCTAAGCTACAACCCTTTGGCTCTGTTTCCTAAGACAGTGTGTTGTCTTAGTAAATTCATCCCTTCCTTGGGTGGCTAGATTCTCATATCTGGTGCACCCACCATTACATATGATTCATTACACGTCATCGCTCCTTAGTTACTGGGCCGATATTACCACATAGCATATCTCTACAACCCTCTATGATTCATTACATGACATCACTCATACTACCACATGACATATCTCTACCAACTAGAGGCCTAGGAGCATGAACGATAGCTCTAAAAGCTCCTACGAACCTCTATGATTCATTACATGTCATCGCTCTTTAGTTACCCACAAGATTGGTTAAGTTATGACATAATTTGTCTATGACATAATTTGTCTATGACATAATTTGTCTATGACATAATTTGTCTATGACATAATTTGTCTATAGGGGTACTCTGACCTTGGACCTCCTTTTACTTCCTATAGGCTATGAACCTAAGAGATGGTTCTACGGGATTCTCTTACGTCGACTACAGTTACCAAGCCTGGTAATCATGGAAAGTCTTGGAAAATGAGAGAACTACACTCCTTTAGCATAAATAGGATTGCCCTTTCCTTAAGAAAGGGCAAGCAGACAATACAGTAAATGGACTATCACATGCTTCCACGTCTTTTCCAAGCTTCCAAGCATTGATCTTGTTACTCCTTGTTTCTGAAAAGTCAGTGAGGTCTTAACCTCTGACTTACCCCTGAGTTCCCAGACTCAACATTTGTTGCAACTTGTCTGAACCACTTCACTACATTACACACCTGATTGCTGCGTTGTGGAATAGTCTAAGCTACAACCCTTTGGCTCTGTTTACTAAGACAGTGTGTTGTCTTAGTAAATTCATCCCTTCCTTGGGTGGCTAGATTCTCACATCTGGTGCACCCACCATTACAAATAGCTGTAAAATGTGTGTGAGATGTAAGGGAAAGGTGTATATAATGATGTTATGTTCTTCTGCTACAATGACGAAGTTATGGCTTGTATAGCCTACATAAGAGTCAAGTAGTAGAACCTTCGTATCCTCCGAAACTGTATGCTTTGCAAAATGCTCTAGCTACCAAAGAGCAAGGTGGCTATTTGAAAATCCAGAGTCTAAGAGTAGTACTAGCTTTAAGCCCTAGTAATACTGCTTAAGGATCCATTTCTTAAGGGCTTCTGACTATGCAGTAGAGAGCACCTTATTCCTACCACCCTTAGTGTTACGATGGTCATAGAGGTCATGATGCGAGTCCAGGAAAAGTAATCTAGATTGAATCTAAAGAGAGAAGAAGAAGAAGAAGGAAGGAAGGTGAGGCTATTCCTCATAACATACAGTTGTCTGCTTAGCGGTTGTAACCTTGGTGGCTAAGGCTACACCCATAATTCCCATAACAACCGTAACAACTGTAACAACCGTAACAACCGTAACAACCGTAACAAGCTGTGACAAGCTGTGAGCTGTAATCATAACACTTAGGTGGTAGGTTCCAAGCACACCGTTTGAGGCTCATCTGTAGTGTTGATTCGGGGACTTTGAAAATGCGACAGGTAGCAATTATAGACTCAGAAGGGTTTTCTACAAGCCACTCATGGGCATTTGATATAGGAGTCCCCTCCATGCACGTCGCGAAACCGCGCACATCGCTTCCGCTCATTTTGAAACCGCGCAGATCGCTTCCTCCAACCTTAAGCGAAGCGAAAATTTGGTCACGACGATTAGGGTGTAGCGGACAGTACTTAGCGGCCGCCGCAGCGTGGCACAGAATGTAACGCATATCTCGGCACGGTGGAGTGCTAAGGTGGTTCTGGCGCTGTCTCATCCTGAACCGCGCGGCCGGCCGGCGCGACAGTTGATCGTCGATGCAAACAACAAGTGCGAAGCGGTAGGGCTTGCTGCACGAGCCCTCGAGCTTCAAACGCACAGTTTAAAGAACCGAAGGACACGTGTATCGGACTTCAGTGCCTACAAAGCAGGCATGGCTGCCCAAGAGGTGTGACCTCTTGGCTGTTATTGCTATTATCCGCCGCTATCTGGCTGCATGGACAAGCGCTGCGGAACGCTGTAGTCGACTGGCTGGCGTTTGGATGTTGGCTCTTCCTTGCAGTGGCCCGGGGTTCGACGTGCATTTCACAACCAACAAGTGCGAGCCGGCAAGCCCTCCAAAGAGCCCGATATTATTGGCAAGCCGGACCTCTCGGCCAACACATGAGTCGCCCAGAGACAAGATGCAGTACATACCTCCTCTTGTCAAATAGCTTTGCGCACCCTCCTATTTTAATCCTATACCCAACAAATCTTTCGAACAGATATACCAGTGAAAATTTCTTCCCTGCTCGTTTCACTTGAGATGAGCAAAGCAATTTACCAGGAGGTAAGAAAGCGAGATTTGTACCCACTCTCTGAATCGGGAACTAGGGTCCGAAGTCCATGCGACGCTGGAGGCATGCGACGCTGGAGGGAGCGCAGGGGTCTAACCACACCCACGACAATAAGTACAAGTCACCCAAAGGAACAACAAATTATTGTGCTGCCCCCGCCGGAAGTGGCACAAAGATAGGGGCGAGACTTTGTGTATGTTTGCTTCTTGTTGTGTGTGGTTTCAGGTATTTTTACATCGTGTTCTTTTCTCGTAACATGCGGTGTAAAATGCAGTGTTGTGAAATGTTGCGAGCGACGCTGTTCATGTTACCATTTGACTTGCCTCGGGAGAGGTTTGTGGAGTCGCTGTAGGATCGTCGGCACGGATGCTCCGTACATTCAGATACAGTACGTCGTACGGAGACCTGCAGACGGACCGTAGTGTCCATAGCGGGGCTGCGCAGGAAGACCTGGGTGAGTCGGAAGCGCCCCAAGGTTTCTTGGGGCTCTTCTACATGATGGCTACGTAACTATCCCAGTGGCCCGTAATAGAATGTTGCGGTAAAGTATTAGCCAGCTGAATTTGATGACAATTTGTGCCTAGCACCTTCTGCGTAGTGTGCTGTATCATCCACTCAGATGAAAGGAAAACGATGACGCTTGTAAGCCGATCGAGGCGGTGACTGTGTCTCAACCTGACTGGGTAACAATGAAGCCATCCAAAAGAACGGTGAGAGGTTTCGCCTGAAATCGATGAGGGTAGGGTTTTGAAAATTTCAACGACGTGTATTTGTGCGTGCAAGGGGTGGTAAGATCGCTGGGCGCAGTGTGGCTTAGCTTGGATAAAGAGGAAGGATAAAATATGCCCAACCCATAATCAAGAACCCTCATCAGAGTGCGACAGCGAGGTGCAAGATGCCAACGGAGCTGAATATGACCGAAGTAGCCAGCCCATGACAGTTGTCCGAATGCTGCGCCATTCATTCTATGGCTCATAATGCCCAACATATCTCGGGTTTTTAGTTCTTCAGCCACGTTCAGCCGACAAAAACAAGACTACTGGATCAGTCAGGAGTCACCAAGTCACCGTCAGCCTCTAGGCTACGAGCGGATTGGCTTGGGCTGGATCCAGCAACTTGGGAGAATCGCTCCGCGTCTATTTTCAAAACAAGGTTTTGGATCTGGCTGCCGGTGACTTGAAAAGGAGTTGTAGCAGAATGAATAGCCGCAACGCGTTGACTTGACAGCTTCGTGAACGACCTGGATGAAATTAGTGGTTTTGTGTCGCGGGATACATAATATAAGAGTGACGAGTTTATCTGACTCGGTCTGAGGGCCCGCCCGGGTCACAGACGCAGTTGAGGCATTTTGTTGATCGTACCAAATGTACACCTACTATCGAACTGTAGGGGGTCGCCCCCAACTCTTATTGCCAAAGTAATGCATGGCCTGGATGGTCGAATCCTCCTTGGAATGAGGGCGTATATGTGCGAGTTCAACGGCTAGACTTGCTTCGAGTAGGTTTATTTGGAAATCATCCATTCATCCTGTACTCTACCCCGTCAGCCCCTCTCTTTTTGATGCCAGGAAGTTGTATTACAGTAGAGTTACGGAGTACTATGCAGCAACTAACCGTGTGGAGCAAGGTATAGTCCTGGCGGAGTCATGAATAAGTTGTGGGAAATCCGCGAGCCATATAACCATGGTGTGGTTATAACCGTGGTGTGGTGTACTCCGCCGTAAATTGGCACTCCCCCCTTTTCAGGCCCCCCAGTCCAAAATCCACACTTGCCACTCTTGCCCACCATCCACCACCACCCCATCCACCACAACCCCCCCATCCACCACCCCATCCAGCCCATCCACCACCAACCCCCCATCCAACACCCCATCCACCCCCCCATCCACCCCCCCATCCACCCCCCATCCACCCCCCCATCCACCCCATCCACCCCATCCACCCCATCCACCCCATCCACCCCATCCACCCCATCCACCCCATCCACCACCAACCCCCCCCATCCACCACCAACCCCCCCCATCCAACACCCCATCCACCCCCCCATCCACCACCACCCACACACAAGAATGTGCGTCGCTTACCTACTTACTTAAATCGACCACACCCACCCAACCTCTCCCATTTTGACTTCTTTTGCCACCAGCAAACAAAATCTGTAATCGACTACGTATAGTCATCGTTAACTTCAACACCACGAAACTAAATCGACGAAATAGTTGGATCAACTCCGGTCCAACGTCCCAGCAGATTCCCGAAAAGCCCAAGTATCGCGATATCACGACCTCTGCTATGTTCCAAGTCAGCGAACTGTCTCTCTCCATCCCTCTACCCGACAAGATACCTCGGTGACGGATTATAACACAACAAACCCATATATTTCCGATTCTGGATAGAGCGCCTGATAGGGGGCTCTCTCGTTTTCTTTTTTTCTTTCACGGTTTTTCGGTCGGGGTCTGCAGTATATTGAATGGATTAAACATAAGATGGCATACGCTTCGCCACCATACCACGGATACCCGGAAGGGACTCCCTCTCCCCTAGGACGACACGGCGGCTTTTATCAACAGGCCGCTCCTTCACCGCGTCACTATTCGCACACTCGACACGCCAGTCACGACTACGGTCACGGCCACAGCTCCCCGGGCGCGTCATACCCATCACCAAGATACTCAAGTTCTGGACGCTATTCTACCAGGACCGGTGTTGCGTCGCCCTTTGGTGAAGCCGAATATGTGAGTGACAAGACGCGGAAGACGCATCATCATACCCACAACAAGCATGGTCAGAGCCAGACTTGGTCGTTTCCAAACCCGCGGTTCACTCAGTCGTATCGAGCCTCTTATGGGGATTCCGACGAAGACGAGTTGATTAACATCGACGGTGATATCTACGTCATTCCCGGTGGTCGACGCACGAAGCAAGCCTATTATCGTCGTAGTCGTGAAACTAATCACTACTATGCGCAGGGCTTCACTTATGACAGAGACGGTACTCCTGTCATCATTGCGGAGCCGACTCCACGACACACTGAAACCACGCCTCGACGATCTCGCCGAGCATCAGCATCTACACCACAACGACCATCGACGGCAAACCGCCCTTCGAGCTCATCCAAAAAGCAGCCCCCACCCATTCCCAAGGCCACGGAGGCAGATGCGAGGGCGCATCGCATCCCTGCCGGATATTCTCTGAAGAACTGGGACCCCACTGAGGAACCTATTATGCTCCTTGGCAGCGTCTTCGACTCGAACTCCCTAGGAAAATGGATATACGACTGGACTGTATACCGTCATGGACCCGCAACGCCCATCTCCGATGTGGCTGGTGAATTATGGCTTCTCCTTATCCAGCTGGCTGGGAAGGTCAAGCGTTCCGAAGAGTGCATGCCCCGGATCAGATCAGAGGACAACCGTCTCATGATAAACGACTTCATCGAGTCCGGAGAACGCCTCATGGATAAACTCAAGAAGCTCCTTAAGGCATGCGAGGGACCCATGCTTAAGGTAGGCAAGAGGCTCGGGAGCAAGGAGCCACCGCTCCTTGGCAAGAACTCCGGCATTGAGTTCGTCGACTCCATCTTTGGTCGTGATCGTCAGCTTGATCACACCGAGAAGTTCATGGCCAGCATCAGACTATGGAATCTCCGCTTCGACGCCAACTGCGAGGACATTTTGCTTTACCCTACTGCTTAGGTTCATCACCACGCCTTTTTAGGCCCACCACATACGTCAACATACACGGCACATCACCTCACCTCACTACAATCATACCTCATTTACATACCTTTCGTTATTACAACGATGGTACAACAGCTACATCGCACGCGCTACAGCGGGCCGGTTATAGCCAACAACGCATTATACCCCTATACCCGAGATCACTTCATTGTGGTCTCCCAAAATATTTTCCAGCTATCAGTCATCCAAGTAAAGTAATGGGGCAACCCTGGCATTGGCGTTTCTCTTATGCATGTTTTTCCGGTTTGATACCACGGCATATGATCTAGACACGCACGGGCTTTTCAAGGGAATTCGGACGACGGATTGATACCAGGACACAAAATCAAGAAACTAAGAAGAAAGAGAAGAGAAAAGGGAGGAGAAATTAGAATGGAACGGGAACGGTACGGGACGGGACGGGGGGGAGGATCGGAAAAGTTTATCGAGTACTGGAAGGCGCAGCGTTTATGGTACGCTTTTCACCTTCGTAATGCGCGGGGCTTTCGTCAGGAAGGCGAAACTCAGCGAATTTGGTTTTAAGACTTGGGATTTTGTTTTGTCGGAGATTTGGCATTTGGAACGGAAAGGCACAGGAGGCAACAATTGGATTCTTGGGATGGATGGATGGTGCATTATGGCATGGATCTGCCATTGTAATCGTATTTTCACTCGGGACGCGCTGGTCGGAGGCCTATTTGGCGGTGGATATACCCCTTATTATTTTATCAATCGTATCTCGAATCGAGAGTATTCAAGACTTCTCGAGCAAAAAACCATTCCCAGTCCCATTCGTAGTGAACCAACTACATTAATGCAAAATGCTACTTCCACCTTGGTCGTTGCAAAGCCATGAGATGCGGGGTTGGAAAGGCGATGGCGGGGATGGCGGGGTCACCTGTGGCCGTCCCATCACACCCAAAACCTGGCCCTACCAAGTGCTGCTGTATTAATCGAAAAAGGAAAGTTGGACACACCAGGCCACCAGTGCCCATCCGATCCGATCCATTAAACCGAGGGAAGGTGCCACGTCGACAAACGGCTATCGTCGCAAAATAAAGAAGGCAAAAGAAAGAAGGCAAAAGAAAAGAATACACCAGGTTTTTGATCATAGAGAGATTTGATGATGAGGTTTTGAACCACACCCGATTTGAACGGATAACCTTTCGCTCTGGAGGCGAACGCGCTACCGTTGCGCCAGCGGTCCTGGATTGTTATCTGCGAAGACCTATGCCATCTCATACCTCTTGACACTCACCTTATCCTTCTAAGCATCAATGATGGAGTACTCTTTGTACATCACCCACCAACAAGGACACCCACCGCTCTAATTTGCTAGACAAAGCGCAGGCACAGTGCGCATCGAAGCAGGAGCCACCCCACGGCCTCCCCGAGGGGTAAACCGCGCCGATCATCACAATCATCACACCCCGTCGAAGCGCTCCTGCGAACACCTCCTCCTTCCCCGCAGATCGAGCCCGGGACTATTGCCCCTGCGGCTTATGACTCTGGGCTGTTACTAATACTGCCGTGCATTTCGTGGCTGACCTGCCTGCTGGGGGGGGGATTGTTGTGGTTGGTTGGATGCGTGGGCAGATGGCGAGGTTCGGCGAAGTTGTGTTGCCGTGTCTTCAACGGGGCTGTGCTACCAACGGATGGCGCAATTGATTGCCTGTTGGGGGCAAGGTTTCGGGTTACATGTTGTCAGCTTCATCTATTCTCTTCTATTCTCCCAGGGCTGGAGGGCTGGAGTATCGTCAGCTCGTACTTGTGTTTGGGGGCTGCGGTTGTTGGGCAGGCCAAAGTGTGCGCGTCGCTTCCAACACCGCGTCGCGCTCGTTGACGATGCAGCGTACCCCGCAATCATGGACGCGCATCTGGCCGTGCGGCGGGGTCAAGAAACACCGCATTGCTCGGTGTGATCCGGATTGTTTTACAGAGGAGAAACAAAACGGATGGCTGGGATAAGCCGGACGTGCGATTGGCCGACTCGGCGGTGATGTGCCAGTAATACTGCAGTGTAGTAAGCGCCTGTGTTCAGCCAGAATTGAAGATGGGGGGGTACACGCGCAGTTGATGCCTTTTCTGGGATACGACGCGCCAGGGACGGGGATGCGGATCGGAGATGCTGAGGTACTGGTACTTGGAATATCGAAGAGAGACTTGGACGACGGTGGACGTGAAGGCACCGAGGCTTGCACATCTCACCACCCCTCTGTAAGTATATTACGCCGAGAGTGTTGCCTTTGCAAACTTCGATAGAGTAGATATTCAGCTCATCCTTCGGATTCTCGGAAAAGCCTCGATAATTGCATGATACATATACTGTAGTTTGTCACTGTAGTAGCACCTGCTCCAAATAGAACCTCTGAAGGTAGAAACGTTACGTCTACAATCACGCGTCCTAAATGCCAGTGTAGTTACCATCTTTCAGTTTGCCGCATATGGCCACTGTTTTCTGATACACAATGTATTATTGATTTCAATGACCAGAAGCGGACTGAAGCAAGACCAATATCAAAGTTTAATTTCTTAGGTATCATGCATCATCATCTGATCCAAGTCTATCAATCAATAGAAGGGTATCCATCCGTCTTAGCACACGCGTATGTCTCAGCTCCGCGAAAGCCAGACCAACAACATCAAAACAAATGACGTCTTCCTTTAAGCCAAACCAGACGCGCGTTCTAAGACCTTGGCCGCCTCTGCACCCTTAAACAAATAAATATCGACGGATTCGTCTTCGTCGCCCAAGTTCCCCACCCTCTCACTGTGTTTACCAACCTGCACAATCCTGTGCTCCTTCATGAGGTCAAAGAATACTGCCTCGCTGGCGTGGCGCACTTTCATGGCCAGACATATTAACACCGATGGGGATTTCTCGATCAATTTGGCTATTGTTAAGACGAGATAGGGGACCACATCTGGGTTGTAGGTGCAATCTGCCACCAAGATCAAGTCAAAGTTCTCATGCGCAACTCTCAGTGGTAGTGGCTCTGACCAATCGAGGTTCAGGTAAGACGCGTTGGTGGCTTGCTCGAGATTATCAGATGCGACTTCAGCAGCTTCCTCGAGGTCGGTGGCGATGACGCGAGAAGCTGGGACAGAGAGTGCGAATGTGATAGCGACAATTCCGCAACCAGTACCCAATTCAAGGACAGATGGTGATGGCACGGTTTTGATCAGGTCGCCCAGTAATCGGAGGCCTGCTGGGGGGCTGTTGGAAGCCTGGCTTAGCTCCTCGAGGAGGGCTGAGAGGATGACACCAGCGTCCCTATATAGTGTTAGAAAATACATATATAACTCATTATAGCTAGCCAAGTGAAAAAGGATGCTAGAAGTGAAAGGCACAGCACTAGGGGCTGAATTAAAAAAAATCAATAAGAACGTAATATGCAGGATGGAGATAGAGTGTCGAGGCGGGACCCCCAAAAACCTAAAGGAATGTTCATATGAGAAATAAAAAGAGGATTATAACAGCTTCGGTGCGTATTAATGGCAGCGCCATTTTGAGTAGCTTTGATATGGCAGTTCCCTGACAACCCTCGTGGCTCTCCGTATATCGCGGATGACATAATAGAAGGAAGCAAAAAGAAACGTACCATATATGCCTCGCAATACTTTCCCCTGTATCCTCGTCAATACTCATAGTGACCCCACCATTCAATTTGAAGTGTCTGTAAATCACAGGACGAATGGATTCCGCCGTGGCCTTGAAGATTGCGCTCAACCCGCGTAAAACGGCACCATCCGCCGGTCGATTAGTTTGCCCCCTGTTTATGCTGAGCACCTCTGCCAAATTATAAGGCGTAAAGTCTCCTGTGGAAGGCCACACGCTGAGTTGATAAGGTGGCTGATATTTTTCCTTTCTTGCCTTCTTTTCGCTCATGGCCAACCTTACTTCGAGCTGCCTCTTCTCGCACTTCCACACAAGGCTTTGTGTGGCGACAGTCACGCCATTGCTGTCCCGAATGGTAGCCTCGATGGGTATATCACACCATAAGAAGCTTTCTCCCAGGTCGTTGACGACGGTGATCTTGGCATAAAGTATGTGGTGGTCAGGTACTTTGGCATCCCGAGTTATTTGTGGAGGCTTCAGGAAACGAATGTAGTGCATTGTTCCGTTGAGCTCATTCGCTCCAGGATATTTGGAGGTGCTTTAGAACGCTGCCCAAGTGGGCCAGTGCGGTCTTTTCTACTCCGCCAGGTCTTTGAAATGCACGTTTCAGAGCAAACAATTTTCTCCAATTGCACCGTGTCCTGCCGGTGAGTTGCTTTTGAGGCAGTCTGACAATCGCCACCAAGCTGTTTCAAACCTCACGCGAAAATAGAGCCATCTGTTTTCATAATTGGGGTTTCAATCTCCGGATATCGGGTTCGTTATTGTAATCGTTCTTCAAAAATAAGACGCGACGATTAAGGTTTTTTTGAAGCTGAGCATATTGACCAATCAGGATCCAGGGGACTGTACCGCACGGAAGTGACGTATGCGGGCAGTTGGGTGCTATTACGCTATTACCGCGGAGGAATTCCGAGCGGGGTTATGCCGCATTATCTGCTGTCCCTTCTATACCCGCCCGATATATTGAACAAATGTAAGCTCTCCCTGCATATCCCCTCTTTGTGATTTCTCCAAACAAATTCCATCTATTCTCTCGTCCATTACCTTCTCCGTGTGTATAAACAATCGTGGCAACTAAAGGGCTCAAAAACATCTTCAAAATGGTTGCATCAAAGAGCTGGCTGGAGCTCCCGACGGATTCTCACTTCTCCATAGCAAATATCCCTTTCGGGATTATTAGCACAGAGGGACAAGAACAGAAGAGGTCAGCTGTTGCCATTGGTGATTATGCGCTGGATCTGCAGTGTTTCGCAAAGAACGGCGGATTCTCTGGGCTTCCTTCCATCCAGGACAAGCTGTCCGTGTTTGGAGAACCGACCTTGAACTCATTCGCAGCGCTTGGTCGCCCAGTGCACAAGCAAGTTCGTGAATACCTCCAGGACGTGTTTTCGGAAGGTAGCGCTTTATCAAAGGTTCTCAAAGACAACGAGGAGCTCAAGAAGGAGGCTTTAGTTCCTAGGAGCAAAGCCAAGCTTCACTTGCCAATGCAAATTGGCGACTATACCGACTTTTTTGCCGGCATTAATCATGCATTCAACGTAAGAAATTTTTAAATACACAGGTTTACAGCTGTCTAACTAAATTTCAGGTTGGAACTATGTTCCGCGGTCCAGCCAACGCCCTCCAAAAGAATTATACTCATCTCCCTGTCGGATACCATGGGCGTGCATCGTCTGTCGTGGTCTCCGGAACGCCAATTCGCAGACCTAACGGCCAAGTTATCCTTGATCCTTCCAAGCCTGACGAACCAAGCTATACCGCATGCAAGAGGCTAGATATTGAGCTCGAGCTTGCTGCGTTTGTGTGCACGCCAAATAAACAGGGCGAGCCGATACCAGTTGGCACAGCTGAGGATAACCTCTTCGGTCTTGTCCTTATGAACGATTGGTCTGCAAGGGATATTCAAACGTGGGAGTATGTCCCACTGGGCCCATTCAATGCCAAGAACTTCGGCACATCGATCTCTCCTTGGGTCGTCCTTATGGATGCCCTGGAGCCTTTCAGAACAAAGGCTCTGGAGAACTCTACTGAGTTGACCGCATATCTGAAAGACCCACGAGCGGATCGTGCGTACGATATTAAACTTGAGGTTGACCTAACCAGTAAGAATAGCCCTGTTTCTACACTTATGGCCATGGCTAACATCTTCAAGCATCGGACGGAACAAACACAACGATCTCCAAGACTACGGCAGCAAACCTCCTCTGGTCATTCCCACAAATGCTTGCCCACCACACTGTCGGTGGCTGCCCAATGAACACTGGTGATCTCCTTGGGTCTGGTACCATTTCTGGTACTGAGCGCGATACTTTGGGGTCTTTGCTCGAGATCAACCGTGCTGGCAAAGAGGAGGTCAAGCTTTCCAACGGAGAAGTTCGCAAATTTCTCGTCGATGGTGATACTGTTACTATTCGTGGGGCGTGCGGGGTTGAGAATGGCCAACTTGTAGGATTTGGAGAATGCGTGGGCACCATCCTGCCTGCCCCACCTCTCCAACAATAAGTCAGCAAATAGATATCTCGTACCTCGTATAGTTCAGGGCTAAAACTTAAATAATTCCATTGCTAATGCCTCAATTGTTTTTCGTGGACTTGTCTGCTGTGATGAACTCCGAAACTGAGGCCCCCACATTCTCCCCACACGTTCGTAAATACGGTACTCCGCTGAAGATTTGTACCCCGCACTTCTTGGGAATGCAGCGCACGTATTCCGTGCCCACCGCCGTCATCCAAACAAACGCGGAACCTGGTCCTAAATGCACATTGAAGCGTCGACTCCAACGTGGCATATAAATGCCGGGAGTCTCTCGGTAATCCGAGATTCATGTCCTTTGAATCTTCAAGAGAACGAGGATTAGTGAGTTTGAAACAATACACTGGGCCATAGGAGCGCCCGCGGAATATCCCCGCCTACGTCTCCAGAAGCCAATTTAGCATCAGTAAATCTAACCAATTCAAGGCATAAATATATACGGCCATTTACCCCTCGTATTGTTATATAAGAAGGCGACAGCAGCTCTGGAGCTTATACTTGCATCTTTTTTTGTATCTACCGCCTGCGAAGACCTCATCCAAAATGGGTTACCAAGTTGTCGGCATTGCGATTGCCGCCGTGATATATTTATTTGTTAAATACTTGAACCAGACCGACACGCCCAAAATTAAGAATCTACCCGAGGTTCCTGGACTTCCTCTGTTTGGCTCTCTCCTTAAATTCAGCAGCGATCATGCTACAGCGGCATACAATTACTCGAAGACATATGGTCCGGTGTTCCAAGTCCGCCTAGGCAATAGAGTACGTTCAGTGCTCCCCGTCGAACTCTCCATTCGAGTGTTGGTATCTGACCTGCTTTAGAGAATTGTATTTGCCAATACCTTCGATTCCGTCCGCCACCTATGGATCACGAACCAGTCGGCCCTCATCTCCCGCCCTACCCTCCACACGTTTCACACGGTCGTCTCCTCCTCGCAAGGTTTCACTGTTGGGACATCCCCGTGGGACGAGTCATGCAAAAACCGTCGCAAGGCTGCTGCCACTGCTCTAAACCGCCCAGCTGTTCAATCCTACATGCCAATTCTTGACCTTGAATGCAACGTTTCCATCAAAGAGATCTTTCATGATTCCAAGAACGGCACAGTCGACATTGATCCTATTGCATACTTCCAGAGATTTGCTCTGAACACAAGTTTGACACTCAACTATGGCTCGAGAATTGACGGGAAAATTGACAATGAGCTGCTGCAAGAGATCTGTCACGTTGAGAGAGTCGTGAGCAACTTCAGAAGTACTAGCAACAACTGGCAGGACTATATTCCGCTTATGAGGTTATGGCCGAGTAGCAGCAAGGGCCCAAAAGAGTACAGAGAGCGCAGGGACAAGTACTTGAGCTTTTTACTAGCTAGGCTCAAGGGCGAGATCGAAAGAGGAGTTGATAAGCCTTGCATCACTGGCAACGTAAGTTTAGAAACGCCAACCACGCATTCGGAAGGTCACTAACATTACCCTGGTAGATTCTCAAAGACCCAGAAGCGAAGCTCAGCACAAACGAGATCAGGTCGATCTGCCTTACCATGGTCTCTGCAGGTCTCGATACCGTGCCAGGGAACTTGATTATGGGAATCGCATATCTCTCGTCTCCTCACGGCCAGGAAATCCAAAAACGCGCATACGACGAAATTATGAAAGTATATCCCGATGGAGATGCCTGGGAGAAGTGTATTTTGGAGGAGAAAGTATCTTATGTCACCGCCTTCGTTCGTGAGGTGCTTCGCTTCTTCATCGTAATTCCCATCTGTCTGCCACGAACGAGCATAAAGGATATCAAGTACGAAAACACAGTGATCCCTGCCGGAACAACCTTCTATATGAACGCATGGGCTGCAGACTATGATGCGACCCATTTCAAGAGCCCACAGGGATTCTCCGTTGAGCGCTATCTTGACAATCTCGAGGGTTCCGGTGGAACTCCACATTTTGCCTACGGTGCTGGTTCTCGTATGTGCGCTGGCTCGCACCTTGCCAACCGCGAATTATATGTCGCGTTTATCCGCATGATAACGGCTTTCCATATCGATCCGGCTCAGAAGCCAGAGGATCTTCCTATTTTGGATGCGTTGGGATGCAACGCTATTCCGACGTCTTTGACAACTGAACCAAAGCCATTTAAGTGCGGTTTCCGTGCTAGGAACTCAGAATCACTCAGGCAGTGGATTCAGGAGAGTGAAGATAAGACGAGACACTTGTCTACCTGATGATTGGGGCATGGTAAAGGAGTTGGGAGAGTTTTTTTAGATTGTGCGTTCGGTGGCAACGTTCCAGAACTTATACCTGGGGTGTGCAGTTAAATGTATATAGACCGTTACTATTATGGGTTGAATAAGCAAAAAATATCTTAATCTGAGGTCTTTATGTTGTCTTCGCATACTCCATACGCAACTATTCATACATTTAGTCTTTGTATTAATCCGAGGTCGAGAATTTTGAACTGGTTGTTAATGTGGTTTTTATAATGGGCCTATAATTTCTTTTGCGCCAAGCTACCCCAGTATTTTAGTCACACCCCCAGGCGTAGATCCCAACACTCCTCCGCCTTTCTTCGGGCCAAAGGTCCCCGCTCGGGTTCCCGTCCCCAAACAACACCATTTGTCTATCGACGCCTCAATTACCCATAATGCGACTGTGAGCATGCAAAATATCCTCGAGACCCAAGTCAGCGACCTGTCGAGCCTAGTCGACTCTCCCCTCCCGCTCCCACTCGTCGCCAGTTACGCCATGGCAGATCGACGGGGCTCTGACAGTGCGGAAAGCCTAGCGCGGGACCAAGGAAAGCGGAAAAGCGACGACCTGGGGCCCCAGAATGGTGGGCAACCTAGAGCAAAACGGAATCGCTATATTTCAATCGCATGGTAAGACCACACCTTATTGCGCGCCTATTCCATGGTCCACTGTATCTATTTTTGATTACCTTGCAATTCGAAATGCTGTGGAATGCATGGGCGGAATGCGGAACTCCCGACTGACAGATCTGACAGCAACGAATGCAAGCGACGGAAAATCAAATGCAATGGAAACTCACCTTGCCAACGGTGTGGGAACCTCAACCTCGAATGCCAGTATGCGCCTAACTGCTGCGCGAATGGGTTCAAGGACTCGGAGGAGTTCAAACAGATGAATGCGCATCTCTCGAGTCTGCAGCAACAGATCGATAACCTATACGCGAACCTCAATGCGTTGCGCAGTGGTGGTATCGGCCCCAATAAAGGGTCGATGACTGGGTCGATGAGCCAGAGGAGCATCCGGAGTACGAGCCCGGCCTTGACGTATCGCCCTCCTCCTAAACATCCCCGATTCCAAGGACCGACAAGCTCGGCATTCAGTTTTGATGTCGCAAAGAACACTCTACAAAATATGGGATACCCGGGTCTAGAAGGCGGAGAAGATGGGAATGGGATGCAGGACGATACACCTGCAGGGTCTCCGCCAATGGCACAGGCCGTTTTGCCATCGCATCCGTTTAAAGATCCGTTGTGGTTGATAACAAAAGAGGAGGCACTACGGCTATGCGTGGTGTACGAAGATGAGATATGCATCATGTATCCATTCCTGGACATGAATTGGGTTGCGCAAGTTGCTAATACCCAGTATCGGTTCATGGAAGAGGGCTCTCCGAAGAATGGGCAGAACCCCAATACCGAGTCGCCGAGCCCTGTTGCAGAGCAAGATTTGAATATTTTGAAGATGGTACTGGGTATAGCGTCTGCCGTTGAATGCTCAGGCCAGAGCGAGCTTGCCAATCGGATATATGAGAACACAAAACATGCTTCAGATAATATTCTGCATGCTGAGGGGGTTTCAATTAAGGATATACCCTTGGTAGTGCTTGTGGCAACTTATCACTTCCACTGTGATGAAGAGTATGTTAGTCCCGTCGCTTCTCGTGTCCACATTACTAATTGATTACCAGGGCTCTTGCCTGGCGTGTAATTGGACAAGCCTCCAGAATGTGTGTTGAGCTTGGGCTGCATCGTCGAGACTCTTTGTTCAAGAATTTCCCAGATGAAGAAGGCCGTGCAAATGCCGTCCGGCTGTTCTGGTCAATCTACTGCCTCGATCGGCGATGGAGTTTTGGTACAGGCATGCCATTCGCTATGCAAGATGCGGATATTGACCCAAGCATACCTGGGCCCGTGAGTTTCTGTCCTCTCCCCCACTGTGCCATGATCCTAACAACGTCACAGGAAGTCAAGATCCCTTATCTCAGTGTCATGATCTCATATTCCCGTATTGGGTCCCGTGTCTGGCGGTCCGTGGCAGGTTTCAACACCCTTGCCCCGACAGAAATCAAGAAGGAAGACATCGGCTACCTCGATTACCAGATTTTACAGTGGCAGAAGGCCATCCCCCCCGAGCTGCAACTCCCCACAAACAGTTCACCGCAATCTGTAAGTCGAGCAATGCATCGCCTGCAGGTCCTCCTATACGTACGTTGCAACCAGATGCGCATCCTGATCTACCGCCCCGTCCTGCACTCGGCAAACTCGATAATGGAGAACCTGTCGTATGCGCAGACGGTTGTTGAACTGGCGAAAGATAGCATTCGCGCCCTTACCCACCTAAACCAAACGACGGATATCTACCGCGCACAGCAACAGTGCTTCAACTACTTCCTCATCTCCGCACTAGCCGTCATCTTCCTCGCCTCTTGTCATGCCCCTGTGCAGTTCAGCGCCGTCTGCAAGGAGGAATTCTACATGGCACTCGAGCTCGTCCGCGGCTTCAGCTCAAAATCATACGTATCCAAGCGCCTCTGGCGCACCATCAAGGGTCTCAAAGAAGTAGGCCCAAAACTAGGACTGGAGCAGGAACACGCACCTGTCGCCAGAGGAGGGTCGCTAGACGATCCCCATTCTAGCGCCGCGCTAGCTATGGCCGGATTGGCTGGCCATGAGATCTCTGGTATGCATGGGTTTATGAGCCAAAGTAATGGAGGAAACGGACACTCGGTGTCTGCGGTTGGGAATAGTCCTATCAATGGGTTTCAAATGAGTCATGAGATGACGAATCTTTTTGAAGCAGCGCTGGGGGCGGGGACGGGTCTTCATGGTGGGTATACTGGGTCTGGTCAGATGGATGATGGAGGGGTTAGCAGTGGAGAGAATATGGTTGGGATGGCGGGGGGAGCAAACGCTTTTGGGGGCGAGGATGAGCTCTACAGACAGCTCAGAGATCTGTTTTAATTATCACTGGCGGATTTGAATAGGGTGGAAGGGCAACATGGAAAATTTTCATTACATAGCTTATACCAGCTCGGAAGGCGGTTGGGCGTCACCAGTACATAGGGTAAATAATTTATGATACCACATTTATGAATATTTATTTGTGTAGGTGTTTGAGCGTTTTATAAAAACTGTGCTGGGTAATAGTAATGGTATTTATACAATAAAGGCAACAGAATTTAGCGAGTCACGGCTGCAACCTTGTGGATGACTTTTTAGTTTGCGTCCTACGTCTAAAATCAAGGCTCCCCTTTCTTCATTCTGACCTCGGGTGGTCTTTGATTATCACCACCTACTACAGAATCTAAGGCCCCAAACTAGGTGATATTATGTTATCCATGTTATCCATGGATATCCCTTTGGCACGACACCACTATATAAGTAGATAGTATTTCCTTAGATAGGAGCTTCGTGCTCAACTCAATATAGTATTCTTTACAATACTGTAACGTGTTACTTGGAAAGCCTTTTGTGTTTAATCCCCTGCCTCCTCTGTCAAAGTCAACCTTACGCAAGAAACCTCTGTGTCTTCTATCGTTTAGAAGTCAGCGTTACACTTGGCTATATAATGCTTGATAACACTTCAAATAATGATACCCTTATGAAGCATTTGTCACAAAGTACGTTCATTTAAGATTATTAGACCAATTAAATCAAATCTATTTACATATCTAGATCTCAAGAACGAGTACCAAATTGATTACGATAGCAAGCACCATAGACTTCGTTGTATAGGTCACATCATCAATCTCACAGTTCAAGCCTTCCTTTTTAGTGATACTAAGCACGCCGTCTCACCTAATCCAACACCGCTTGAACTAGCCAATTGGCGCACAAATGGGGCTCTTGGAAGCTTTACAACATTGTTGTTTTTGTACAACAGTCGCCACAGCAAATTGCTGAATTTAGAGAGTATAGCCAAGGCAAAAGGCTTGAACGGGACAATTCAACTCATTGGAACTCATGGTCTCATATGATTGGCTGCACTCTATGGCCTGGTGTTCAGCCTGCAATTTGGATGTTTTGCTCAGAGCACAAGGACGAGCTTTGGGATGATACTTTGACTACTGATGAGTGGTCTCATCTTGAAGAAGTATTTGGGATTCTGAAGATAGAACAAACTACACTTGATGTAGAAGGCTCGTTTGGCTCTCTTGGCAAGGTTATTATGACCATGGATTTTTTGCTTAAGCTTTTCGAAGACATTACAGAGTCAAAAATGGAAATCAAATATTCAGTTGCAATTAAATCTATGTCTAATGATGCATGGAATAAGGTCAACAAGTACTACAATATGACAGAGGCAAGTGAGACTTATATTGCTTTAATTGTTCTTAATCCTCAGATCAAATGGGTGTACTTTACAAAGCAATGGCCTTGTAATGGTGGGTGCACCAGATGTGAGAATCTAGCCACCCAAGGAAGGGATGAATTTACTAAGACAACACACTGTCTTAGGAAACAGAGCCAAAGGGTTGTAGCTTAGACTATTCCACAATGCAGCAATCAGGTGTGTGATGTAGTGAAGTGGTTCAGACAAGTTGCAACAAATGTTGAGTCTGGGAACTCAGGGGTAAGTCAGAGGTTAACACCTCACTGACTTTTCAGAAACAAGGAGTAACAAGATGAATGCTTGGAAGCTTGGAAAAGACGTGGAAGTATGTGATAGTCGATTTACTGTATTGTCTGCTTGCCCTTTCTTAAGGAAAGGGCAATCCTATTTATGCTAAAGGAGTGTAGTCCTCTCATTTTCCAAGACTTTCCATGACTTACCAGACTTGGTAACTGTAGTCGACGTAAGAGAATCCCATAGAACCATCTCTTGGGTTCCTAGCCTATAGGAAGTGAAAAGGAGGTCCAAGGTCAGAGTACCTATAGATAAATTATGTCATAACTTAACCAATCTTGTGGGTAACTAAGGAGCGATGACGTGTAATGAATCATAGAGGGTTGTAGAAGCTTTTGGAGCTATCATTCATGTTCCTAGGCCTCTAGTTGATAGAGATATGTCATGTGTAGTATTAGCCCAGTAACTAAGGAGTGATGTCATGTAATGAATCATAGAGGGTTGTAGAGATATGCTATGTGGTCATATCGGCCCAGTAACTAAGGAGCAATGATGTGTAATGAATCATAGAGGGTTGTAGCAATCGTTGAGTAGTATTGCTCTTGTTGTTGGTGTGACAAGCCAAAATATGTATAGTGACTTGTAGGTTTGAGGAGGAGATTTCCAAGTTTGCTCTTGAGTTTGATAGCAAACTGAGTGCAACGAATGTCAGTATGACAGGCCTGATTGGATTAATCAAGCTAAAAAGGACATGTTGGCCTTCTGGAAGACTTATTACAGTAGTTCAAACATTTTTGAGGATCTTTTAGAGCCTCATCTATGAAGATGGCCAGTCAGAGGTCTCAAAATTCCAGCAGCAGAACAACCCTCAGGATAAAGAATGTGACGAGTATGAGATGTATTGCTTGACTCCTCAGCTTAGCCAGAAGAGTAAACAGCGGCCAATCGATTGGTGGAAAGAGGCCTCACAACAAGAGTCATATCCCAATTTGTCTCGTTGGGCAATCAATGTTTTGTAAATACCAGCAATGAGTGATGAGCCTGAGAGGCTGTTTTCAAGAGCCTCAAATACAATCAATGAGGACCGAGCACAGCTATTGCCAGACACAGTACAAGCGCTCGAGTGTATCAAGTCCTGGACGCTTCAGAAAATTGGATCTGAGAATTGATTGTAGCATAGAACAGCTAGAGTTGGACATGGTGTAATTCTATTGTGATTTTCCCCAAGTTACCACACTTTCAAGTCTCATAATGAGGCTGAAATACTACACTGACTGCACTGTTTACACTATCAGTGCGACACTGATAGTGCAGTGTGAGATCTGCACTGGACTATCAGTGCAGTGCGAGTTTTGCACTACACTGTTGACATGCCTGCTAGGACTGCTATGCTTCTGTCCTAAGTGGATTCTGCTAACAGTAGGTTGTAAGGCTAGAGTTGAGGTATCTAGTGCTAGTGATATAGCCCTAAGGTCAGCTAGCTTGTCTGCTGCTTCATTACCCTCTATGCTAGTATGTCTAAGAGACTAGCGGATTCTAATGTTAAAGACTTGCATTGCTTCCTAGCAAGCTAGGAATGCCCATTAGGATGAGTAGGAGGCATCGCCTAGTAGGCACCAAATCACTATAGTGCTGTTAATGCATAGCTAGAGGCGCTGTTGTCTAATACCTAGTAGGAGGCATAGGGTGTGTTATAGGCCTCTCTAGGCCCTAATAACCTTAGCATCAAAGACATAGGAGAGGGGGTTAACAGCCCTATGCCCTATAGCAATTTGGCACTAGTTCTAGTAGATTGCATACCTATAGCCTACCTTCTGTTTATAGTGTAGGGTTTCCTACTGTTTCCTATGAATTGTCTGTAGGTTCGTAACCTTTCCATTTTATCAAAAACTATTCTTTACGTCCTACTAACCTTCTGTCCAGGATCACTTTAACTTCGTATTCAACAATCTCATTCTCTAGTTAGAGTTCTGTATTAGTCATAATCAGGATGTTTCCTCTTGCTAGTTCTAACAATGACACATGAAAAACTAGGTGTAGTCTAGAGTTCTTAGGTAGTTTCAGTCTGTAATTAACTAAGCTGATTTTGTTCTATATTTTAAATGGTCCTAATTTCTTCAAGTCCAACTTCGTATTAATGTGTTTCTAGAGTAGATATACTTTATACCCTCCTTAAAGGCAGGTTCTATACTACGCTTCTTGTTTGCATACACAGCAGATCATTCATTTAAGAATTAGATGTCTGTCGCAAGTTGTTTATAGAACAATTTCAGTTATTCTATAGTGATCATAGCTTGTTCTGCTCTTAAGTCATCTAGTTGTGGTTGTCTATATACCTCTGGCTAATAGCTGTAATTAGCAAAGAATGGTGAGACTTTTGTTGCTTCGGTCATCGTGCTGTTATATGCGAACTGTGTGATAGGTAAGATCTAAACCTAATTGTCCTGTTAGTAGTTGACATAACCCTATAGGTATTGTTTAAGGGTTTGATTTAATCTTTCTGTTTAGCCGTCTGTTTGTTCTAAAAGCACCATTAACGATTTCTAAAATTTTGAAGTAAGCAGCTTGTCTCTGTCTAAGATGATTTCTTCTAGTAATCTGTAATCAGCTAATATACTCGAAGGAAGGTATATACGAGTGCTTTAGCACTGCTAGCTTCTAGATATAGTACAAACATTATATATTTCATGAGTCTTTCTGTAATAACTAGGATAGCGTCAAATACTACTCCTATTAACAGGTCCTAAGAGGGTGGTAGCTTGACAATGAAGTCTAAAGCTATAGATTTCCACGCTCCTCTCAGTACTAGTGTTAACTTGAGCTGTCTATATAGCAAGTGCCTATTGGATTTCAATTTGCTACAAATGTCGCACTCTCTTACCACTTCCACCTGCTTCCTTACACCTAGGAAGTAGTATTGTTAGGTGATTCGTTCAAAGGTGCGTGTTACTCCCTAATGGCTGTGTGCTAGTAGTGAGTGTTGTTCTTGCACTAGCAGGCGTATCATTTTGTTTAGGACATACACTAATCCTTTGAATCGGATTAATCCTTGTTCATCGATGGCAAAGTTGCCTTTAGTTTTTATTAAGACTTGCTTTGCACATTCGTCTGTTACATAAGCTTTCTTTAGTCTTTCTTCTAACTCCGAGTTCTCCATAGTGGTAATGGTGGCTAGTAACTTACTGTATTGCATTCCTACATCTGTTTTCTTTAATATAGCTCTAGGCCTTTCTTCTTCTGGGCTAATGTAGTCAGTCTGTCTACTAAGAGCATCGCTCTTGCATTATTAGAGCCCTTAAGATATGTAATCATGAAGTTGTAAGCTGCGAGTGTCTCTGCCTATTAGACTTGTCTGTGGTTTAAAACTTTAGTCGTAGTAAAGTACACGAGATTCTTATGACCCATCCATACCTATACAGGGTAGGCCGATCCTTCAAGATATACTCACCAGTGCTTAAAAGCAATGACAATAGCTATTAGCTCCTTGTCGTAGATGTTATAGTTGACATCTATAGGTGACAGTTGTCTAGAGTAATATGCGAATAGTTTGAGCTTTCTGTCTTTGTCTAGTTGACTTAGACATGCTCTAATCACGAAATTAGAAAAGTCTGTCTCTAGGACTATCTTCTTTGTAGAGTTGAATGTAGCTAAGATAGGTGCTTCTATGAACTTTGTCTTGAGTTCTTAGAAAGCAGCTTCTGCCTTGTCTGTCCATTCGAATGTGAGGTCTTTCCTTGTAAGCTCTGTAAGTGGTTGAGCGACTTTGGAATATTTTATAATAAACCTTTAGTAGAAGTTGGCAAAACCTAAGAAGCTTGTACTTCTTTAACTATGGTTGGTGTTGGCCATTCCAACACTGCTGTGACCTTTGCTTGGTCCATTTTTATGCCATGTGTTCTGATAATGTAACCTAAGAATTTAACTTGATCCTTATGGAATTCACATTTCTCTAGCTTAAGGAGTAGGTTGTATTCCTTCAACCTTTGTAACACCTTCTTAACATAGTTTACATGTTCTGTTAGGTCTTTAGAGTAGACTAAGATGTCGTCTAAGTAGTCGATGATGAATACATCTAGGTATTTATAAAGGGCTTCATTTATAAGCCTCTGTATAGATGCTAGTGCATTTGTTAGTCTAAAGGGCATAACTTGATACTTATAACTATAGTAGGTGCAGAATGCTATTTTCTACTCGTCTCCCTTCTTTATTCAGATTAAGTATAGGCACCTCTTAGGTCTAGTTTTGTAAATATCTTAGCTCCTTGAAACCAGTTATGTAACTTGTTTATCAAGAGTAAGGTGTATCTGTCCTTAATAGTGATGATGTTTGTGCCCTAATAATCAACATAGAGTCGTAGCTTTTTGTCCTTCTTTAGCACAAATAGTATTAGACTTCCTACTAGTGATGTCGATGGTCTAATGAACCTTTTAGTGAGGTTCTTGTTAATGTATTCTTTTAGCACGTCTAGCTCTGCTACTAACATCTGATATATTAGTCCGAACGGTAGACTCTTTCCTTCTATAATGGGTATCGCATGATCCTTTGGTGCTTAGGAAGTTTCTCTTCCTTAGGGACTTCCTAGAATAACTACTTGTATTCCTTATACTCTACTAGTATTTGCTTTAGTAAGGATGTCTAGGCTCTAGGCTAGGTCATTAGACTTAGCGGTTGCACATAACTCCTTCTGGTGCTAGGAGGATTTCTCTCTTTATGTCATGTCCGTTCATTTACACATGTACTAGCTCATTACAACTTTCTCATTCTGCTAGTCAATCTAGGGGTTGTGTTTCTTAAGCCACAGAGAAACACAACCCCTAGATCGAAAGGAGAAAGGAGCTAAGGTTTTTGCAGTATCATTTAAAGATATACTTGCCGAACAAGCAAAGGAGGAAACGAAAGAAATTGACCCAAAACTGATCCTCCTAAAGCAGTTCCATAAATATCTCGATGTGTTCTCAAAACAGGCTGCAGACAAGCTCCTGCCTCACAGATATGCAGACCATCACATTGTGTTAGAAGGGAACTCAAAACTAGGGCATGCACCACTCTATAACATGTCTCGAGAAGAGCTTGATCTTGTGAAGAAATACATGGAGAACAATCTTACCAAAGGATTCATCGAAGCTAGCAAAGCACCATTTGCCTCACCTGTGTTATTTGTACGCAAACCAGGTGATGCATGCATGATTGTCTATGTATACGATATCAAACTGTATCGTTTCCTTGTGTCTATGTAGCATGACCATTTCTAATAGGACTGTCTTGTAGGTTACCATTCCGTTGTTAGTTAAGATGGGCTCTCTATCTGCAACCATTAATAGGGATAGGTCTTTAGTTGTATCCTAAAACTATATGTGTCTGCTACTTTTTTCGTCATAAAGTTGCCTGTTGCTCCTAAGTCTATCATAGCTTAGAGGTGTTGCTGTTATATCTTAGCAACTACATATAGCTACATGCTACCTGTTATAGTGCATAGCTAGTTCACACTAGGCCTCTTTGTGTTGCTTGCTAGTAGCCTACTGTCTAGGACTCCTAGTTTTTTAACTAGAGTTGTCTAGTAGATTGTTATCTTGCGATGATCTCTTTTAATTGCTTCCTAGTCATAATAGACTGGTCTTTGTCTAGTAGGGAAGTAGGCATGGTCCGTTTTCTCAAAGCAATGCTATAAGCATTCCTTGGTATAACACTGTGACTATAGTACAAATTTGTGCTAGGGGTGATTAGTCCAGAGACGTATCTTGTGTCTATAGTTTCTCCCCTTCCTTATCCATAATGGGTCCCTTAAGTTTGTAGTTGTTTTTAGCCTAAATTTCTACAGGCTATAGTCCCTTATAATGATCCTCTTGTTCTAGTTGCTCTAGTACTTGTAAGAGGCTTTCTTAATGGTCCTTATAGACCTTACTGTCTCTTAGAAGTGTAGTTGAGGTTAGATGGTAATTATGGTTCCTAGGGGCGAGTAAAAGCGCTGTCTTAGGGGCCTAGATCCGGCCGTTAGGGAGTTGAGGCCTCTATCACCACCTAGGGATGCTCAAAAGGAGTAGGAATGGATGGAGATGGAAGTTATAATGCATAATTAACTAGAAGTAGAGTCCTAAGGGTCTAGGGGGAAAAGTTGTAAGCAATTTGTCAATTTGAGAAAATAGTTGTAGGTGCGTCCGTAATGAGAGAGGTCGTTCGAGAAGTCGTTCAACCAGTCATTTAACAGGTCGCTCAACAGGTCGCTCAACAAGTCGCTCAACAGGTCGCTCAACAGGTCGCTCAACAGCACCACTAGGCTTCGTGGTATCATCGCTAAAGAATAACCTCTCCGACTCCAATGCAGCCGCCAGCCGCGCAGCCACCGCCTCAGCCTCCGACTTACCCTCCACAACCCGGAGGATATACCTCGTAGTAAACATCTTCCACCCGTTCACTCCCCATCCTGGAAGCTTCACCCGCTGGTGCACACAGGTGACGATCTCGTGAGAGACGAATGGGCTAGTGGTACCCTGGACTAGGGCGGTGCGCCTAGGAGATGTTGATTTGAGGATGCCGGCGGAGTTGGGTCTGGGTTTATTGGATGCCTTGCGAGCTAGCATGGTGACGATAAATATGTCAGTTTTCTTAGTGACATGGGATGGTCGGTGTAACGGGTGCCGCCGTTACAGTACATGTGGTATATAAAGCGTGTTACGTGTATTCCGAGCGAGCCGGAATACTGTAGTCTTTTTGGCTCAGTGGGATGTAGCTCGAGCGTAACCGTACATCATTACAGTCGGGATGAGAACTCTGTGGTAGGAACTTATTTCGTCTATTGGAGTTTCCTGTTTTATCGTTAGACGTTGCTTGAAAACTGGTCTGGATGGGAATATGAGAACACCGACCTTATATAATATTGGTTGAAGACTAGAGTTTGAAAAACAGAAGCCGCGAGCAGCAGCTATAGTGATCTTTGAGCTTCGTATATGGATTGGCGAAGAATAATATTGGTAGTTTTATGCAAAAATTTTTTCGAGGTGATGTGTAAGAAAGAGAGGAAGGGCGAGATGGAAGGGCGACCCATAACATTCCTGGACGTTTACAAAATGACCGCCAGAAAGTATGGTAAATGGCTAGCCTTACCATGGTTCCATCTGCTTGATTGATTAAGCTTTCAACTGGAGGATAGCTGGAAATAGAGTTCATTACTGCCATGTCTCCTGTCACCCGTTCCTGAAGTCCAATCTTGGTAGGAAGCTTCGTCTGGTGCCATTGTTTAGACTCGACGACGACGACATTGTTGGCAACAATGAAGTCAAGGTGGCATCTTGACGAAGAGGACAGAAAAAGGAAAGTGAACATGATAGAATGGCTTCGATAAAAGAAGTATATAAAACCTATGACAATGGCTATATGGAAATAACCTCTCCTTTGTCGTAATGTAGTATGTAAGAACGGCAGGTGCGACTCGATCGTGCCTTCCTGTTGAATCATTCTTGATTCCCGTTGAATCATTTTGGATACGGTGAACTGGTCACTAGCCAAACTAGTAAACCTAGAAGAACCATGCACTCGGAAGGTCCTCTGAAAAAGAAGTATGACCGAAAATGCGTGCCAGTCCGCAGAGTATCATCCTGGGAGAGAGAGCAAATCGAGAAGCGACAGAGGCATCTCAAGAACTTCAAAGGAGTGAAATGGCAGAAATTGAACCGTGAGGATGAGTTGCGAAGAGCAAAGGCTGCGGCAGATGGTATAAGATACGTGAGGTTGTCCTCAGTACGTTCCGCGTCAATTGCACCGAACAAGGTATCGCGGGTAGCGGCAAGGAGAACTCGAGGCGTGAGATTCACTGCCAGAAAGGTACAGAACCCAGGGCCCGAGTGACGTTGAGGTGAATTAACAGCAACTAACAGAAGAATCCCCACAAACCTCGCGGACACTTGACACACCAGCCTACGAAAACCCTCACACATAACGAAATAGCCCATTCCACTTACCGCCCTGCTCCGAAAAGGTACAGGTTTAGACGCGAGCCACCACCGCCAACGCCAATTACGCTAGAAAACCTCAAAAAGTTCAGGATGGACGAAAAGAAGAAGAGGAAAGATGACGATGACGCGAAATTCGAGAAGAGAATCTTCGCGCAGATTTTCAAAACTATCGAAAACGACCCAACCAGCAAGGTCCTTCGGAAACAAGTCCGCTGTATTGAGCAGCTGCGCGAGAAATCACCACCGCGGCAGACCGATTCGACCCTCGACCGCGCTGAGAAACAACTTTTCCAGCTCATCAAGGATCACGGTTACCCCAGTGATATTAAGCTGCAATCCAGGACGGTTCAACGCCTCCATGCAGGCCCCACACTGCGTGAGTCCCCCTCCTCGCCTTGTCTCGGCCCGGTTCACTAACCTGCCCTTCAGCAGCTCCAGCCACAGCCGGAGAAGACGCTTCTGAACGAAGCAAGCCGGCCCAACCCGAGCAGAGACGGGAAGCCGCAGGACCCTCTCCGGCTCCCGCTCCGGCCGACAAAGACGCCAGCGAAGGCAGCGAGCCTGCCGAACGCGAGCATGGCCGAGCTCGGGAAACAGCGGGCCACTCTCCTGCTCCAATTCCAGCGGATGAAGACATCCGCGAACGCTCCAAGCCGATTAAAGCCGAGCATGGAGAGCGACTTGAGATCAGGCGGGAAGATACATCACTTAATGTCGGCACCCGCCACAAGCACTTCCCAAAAGTGGAAGCGTCTGCATTATCCCTTGGAGGCCTCTATGACATACCTTCACCACCCCGCCATGCTAGACAGCCCTTTCCAGCGCCAAAACCAGACCATATCTTGAAGCAGGAGGACAAGAGGTCCACCACACCACTTGAGGCAACCACTCGCCACGAACCGCCCCCAAATTCTCAGGCGTCCGCGTCCTCCATTGGCGACTCCTTGGATCCACCCTCACCACCCCGCCACGCTACACGGCCCGTCCCAGAACTCAATCCCGACCCTATCCAGAAGAAGGGGAGCAAGCTCTCGGTGGAACCAATTGAACCGGGCACCCGCCACAAGCCACCTCCAAAATCTCAGGCGCCCGCGTCTTCCGTTGGAGACCCCCTGGGTCCACCCTCACCTGTCCGCCACGCTAGACAGTCTGCTCCCGCCTCCAATCCCTCCCAAGTCTACCAACAAGAAAACAAGCGGCCCTGGATACCGCTCGATGCCAACACGGGCGCCCAGTACCATGCGGCCGAGATTTTCCCCAGTGACCGCTTCGACCCTACCCCGCCATCACACCGCCACAGACAAACTATCCCTGCACCCAAGCTCCCTCAAGGTCAGCGACAAGAAACCAAGCAACCAGATGCACCATTTGACGCCGGCACGCGCCACAGACCGCCCCCGAAATCAGTCGAGTCCGCGTATTCCATCGGCAACCCCGTTGACGCCCCCTCACCCCAGCTCGCTCGACAGCCCATGCCAGCACTCAAACCTTTCTACCTCCACCGGCAAGAAAACGCGCGGCCAAGCACAGCGCCAGAAGCCAGTGCCCCCGTCCACAAACGCCCCCAATCCAACGTATCCACCTCTTTGGTCGGCTCTGCCTTCGATCTTGCCACCCAACCGCCGCAAAGACCTCAAGTGCCAGCGGGACCCTCACCATCCCCTCGTCACAGACAACCTGTCCTAGCTTCCAGGCCCTCCAAACTGCAACAACAACAAACCGCACGCCCCAGCAGAGCACCCGAAGCCAGCGCCCGCGTCCGCAAACGCCCTCAATCAAACGCATCCACCCCTTCTTCCATCGGCTCGCGTTTTAATTCCCCCTCCCAGCCACCGCGCAGATCCCAAGCACCTTCCCCATCCTCACGCGCCAGACAGCCTACCCCACTATCCCGACCCTCCCAACTCAACCCCCAAGAAACTGTGCGCCCAAGAACAGCGCGCGAATCCAGCGCTCCCACCAATAAACGCCCCCGATCCAGCGCTTCAGTCTCCTCACGCACCTCAACCTTCGCTGTCCTCCCCCAACCCTCCCGCGGTAGACAACGCGCCCGCAGTACCACCCCTCCTCCACCAAAACGCCGCCGTCGTCGTCGTGATGATGATAGTGGTGCTACCCCACAAAGTCGAAACCGCTACCCCTCCTCCGACTCGCCCTCCCCCCCACCCCCCCGCGCCCCGGGCATCCCTCCGCGGCCTCGGTTTAAAGCAATGACTTCCATAACGGATAAAGAAGACAAGGCATCTCGCGCAATCATGCATCCGGCGTCGAAGCCGTTGGCGAAACTGAACGATGCTGCGAAGGTGACTACTGATTTCGAGACGCTGGGGAAGACGCAGAGGGTGCATCCGAGTTTTGAGAAGGCGAAGGTGAATGCGAATAATAAGCATGTTAGGCATATTAATCGCACTAATGGGAGGAGAAGGGAGGTGGTGGAGGAGCCGAGGAGTCTTTGGGATAGTGTTGGGATGCCGCCGGGTGGGCCGGGGGTGGGGGTAGCGGGTCAGGGAGGAGGGGCGGGGGCGGGACAGCCGCAGGCGGGTGCAGCTGGCTCGGTGAGAGGGGGGGTGATGGCGAATAGTGGGGTGGCAAGGCGGAGAGAGATGATTGAGTTGATTGATGCGGAGTTTGGGCCGGGTGGTGGGGAGGAGGGGGGTGGTGCGTTGTGATATTGTATTGCTGGGTGCGCGGTGTTTGATGGGTTATGTCTTACTATCTCCCGAGGAAGGGTGACCTGCCTGCGGAAGAAGGCGGAGGAAAAGGTTGCTGCCTCTATGGCTCTGAGGGATGGCTGATTAGTTTGCTGTATGAATACCACATAGAAGGCGCTGAGGCAGCGAGGCCCCGTAGCTGTGGGTGACAGCTGCGGAGGTATTGGGGAGGTGAGATATCGCACAACAGAAGAACTGTTTGTTTTCACCTGGCATCTTGCATCTTGCGTCTTGCATCCGCGCTGAATTATTGGGCCGGTGCATACATAGATACGCAGCTTTTAGATCTCAGCTATCTCTTCATCTTACCATCCAATCGCACCATTTGAGATTTTTGAATGCATTCGTGTTTGTTGTGCTTCAATCTCCATCGTACCAGATCATATATCACACCTGATCTCCCATCGGATCGTATGTGTGCAACCGCTTGTAGCATTTGGCTGTGCCGTCGTAGATGTTTCCGTTGCAAGTGAGAGAGCCAGGTTGGACGACGTCCAAAATAAGAACACGCCCCTTGGCGCAATGTTCTCTCGGAGGTCACGTGCACCACCAATCTGAAGTTTATAGGCCCGTCTATTTCAGGGTTTGATGGGAGTATAGAGTCGATGGTGTATTTTAAATATAATACCATTACACCGACAAGTCCCAAAATCCGTATCTAACCCACCAAGCACCATATCAGCACTGTGGGGAAGTTATGAACACTCTTACAGGGATAAGCTCACTAGAGACGCACATGTGGAGCCCGCAAATTTCTCACAACGACGACAACAACAACACTCACTCACTCACTCACTCACACTCACACTCACACTCACTCACAATCATCAAACACCGAAACCCAAATTCTCAAAAGAGGAGAGAGACTTCAATTAATCAGCTCGACTGTCCTAGCTAGTACAAGTGTAAAAAAAGAAAGAGAAGGTAAGTTAAGTTGTATGTTGTGTGAGTAGTACCAGCTAAACAGGCCAGTCAAGAGCCTTTCATCACCCTTTCATTTCCATCTCCATAATCATCAAAAACCCAGTGCCAGCGCAAGTGCAAGTGCTCAAGCCAGCTCAGCCAGCTCAGCGCAAGCAAGTATTCCCATCGTATCATCAATACCCCGTTCGTTCTCACGAACCGAGGTCTTCGAGATGTATTACCAGCCGGCTCCGCTAGGGATCGGGGGGGATAGAGAGCTCGGAATCAGAGGGGGGAATTTACTCCTCTCCGTCCTCCTTGGTCTTCTTCTTGGACTTCTTGGTCACGGGTGCGGCGCCCTCTTTTTTGCAGTGCACGATTAAGCGGGTCCAGGACTCTTCTTTGTCCCATTCGAAGCCGGCGAGGACGGGGGCTTCGAGTTCGTCATCAGCCTGGTGGGGGGAGGGGTGTCAGTTTACTTTCTTTACAACGATGAGGGGAGTAGGTGGGTGAGTGGATGGAGGTTCCGGTATATCCGGATGACCGGCAAGCACATACCTTCTTCCTGAACTGCTTGTAGATTGCATCTAACGCATCCTTGATGGTTACACCCTTCAGGTTCCGTGCCGTTACCTCGAGTCCCAGTGGGAAGTGTAGGTCAATCTTCTTGACTGGTGGTGTGGTGAGGAATTTTTTTAAGTAGTCCTTGTCCTCCACAGTCGTGGGCGACTTGTTGATTCTCCTGTGATGGAAGCATGGGTCAGTCTATGTTCAGATGGTTGATGATATGTGTGGGCATGGACAGGTGTATGTATGCATCCAGTGCGGGGTAATGGACGAGGCTTGACTTGACTTACCAGTTGAGCTTCTGGGTCTCCTTTGCAATGAGGAGTTCCGTTCCTTCCTTTTCTGTTCATCGTTCATCGTCAGCACGGCTCATCACGATGTCAGACGCAATGGATGGCGAGTTGAGGCTGCAGAAGTGGATAGTGGATGATGTGACGTACCTAAGTCATTGATGTTGAACACTCCAGCAGCCGTTGAGCTCATGCGGCGATGGCCCTTCTCCTTTGGTGGCGACGACGAGAGACCCTGGACGGCGGAGTCGACCTTGGTGAGGGGTACATTATCGATATCGGCCATGATGAAGGTTGGATTGATGGAACTGCTCTGATTTGAGGCAGTTGCGTGGGGTTGATGGATGGTTGAAGACTCGCTGGGGAGTCAATCGAAATCAAGGTGTTAGGGAGGTGAAGTTGTATTTATAGGTGGAGAGAGGAAGACAAACAAACGTGAAGCTTGCTTGAGGCTGGGTTTGGGGTTTGATGTTGAAGTTGGATGGAATGAGGGGGGCAGAGTAGAAGTGATGTTTATAGGATGTAGTTACGACGATTCAGGTACCTGACGTTGTGTGGATTGATTGAAGGTGCGTGAGTGACGTTGTAAGGTAGGAGGGGAGGGTAGGAGGGGAGGGTAGGAGGGTAGGAGGAGGGTAGGAGGGTAGGAGGGTAGGAGGGGGGGGGTAGGAACGGGAAGGTGAGAAGGGGGGGGGCGTGATCTATGGGAAGGGAAGGGATTGGATTGGGGGGGTTGAGAGCGGACTGTATGGGACTGTTATGATTGTCTCAAGGTTGGGTCCAAGTCGCGTGACCAAGGGAAGGGAGGAGGGCGGAGCATGCCGCATGTAGCTATGCATTACCTGAAATTCCGAAATTCCGAAATTCGGGGGAAGGTGTGGAGTGGTCAGAGCATCGCTGCCATCGCTGCCATCGCTGCCGTCGCTACTGTCACTACCGTACCCACATAAGACCCACATTGACGGTGTGCCGATCCACAGTAGCAACGACGGGTGCTCAGAGGACGAGTTTGTACCAGATATGAGGGGATTTACAAACCATATCTTTGTCACAGTACCTGCGTCCATTGAGCACGTAACGGAGGGAGGATGGTACGGATGGGTGGACGGTACCTCGGTCGAGGATAATGGCTGCAATGCTTATGGATGAGGATAGGTGGGACGACGTCTTCTACAGTAACGTAGGTCATGGTGGGGGTGGTGGCAACCCCATCAAACCAGCCGGCTGCCACCACAACAAATCAAGAGCAAACCCTTCTAATGTGGATTAAACAGCTTACAAGTAGTGGCTACGCTCTAGCCACCGCATATTACGTGAGGTTGTAGAGGAAGTCCGGTCAAACAAGTGTCGGGTCTTCCAAACCTCGGTGAGCTGACCCGTGGAGTTGTTGACCAGCTTAATCAAGTCAACTACCAACCTATTGGACCTACAGACTAGCAGACTCGGCTACATCTAACCAGTGGCTTAGCAGACCCGACCTGCTTAGCAGTCCCGACCGACCTAGTAGACCTAACCGACTTAATTGACCTAGCCAACTTAACAACCACAACTTCAAATACCTAACTTACCTCTTAGGCAAGAGTCGGTGCTATGGTTCATTCAAAGGCATCCTAACTTACGCGTTAAGTTAGGAAGGAGAGTTGAGGCATAAAGGATGAATAGGGCTACAAAGGAGGTGTTAAGGGGGTGGTTTAATGTGTATATAAGAGCCTTAAAACAGAGCAAAACCTTAAACTGAAAACTACAACACCTACAATATGGATAAGTCTGGATTTTTAATTAGAACAATGCAATCTACATAAATTATAGTCAATTCTACACTTAGGACGCGTTTTTAGGCACATCTAGGAAGGTAGGAATGGGTCTCTACTGTTAAGTACATCTGTACGATATCAAGTGCGCCTTGCAGCTCGAGTGGGGGTTCAGGGGTGTGGGGAGCTTTCCGGGGTTGGAGCGAAGTTTTCAGTTGTGGAGTGAATTCTCAGAACTGGTCTCGCTAAAGAGAATTCACTCCACAACAACATAGCTGTATATAGATCGAGCCACTGCTCGAGTGCTCCTCTTCTCTTTCCTTTCTTCTCTAGATTGAGTTTAATTCATAATACCCAACTGGCGCCCTATGCCTTGGTGAACCGTGACAATCTGCATAGATAGAATAGCTATCGACCCTCTTATTATCTTTAGGGGGCAGAATGTCCTATAGAGCTGGATTCCAAAGGAGGTTATAAGTAAGTAGCACTTCTCTGCAAATACAAAAGGATAGACAAGCAATCTTCATGGATTAGAGTGGCTAAAACGCGTTTTTAAGCCCTCTATGTAAGGACACAGGGCACCCAGCTCACAGTAATAGCATATGAGAGTGCGAGTCGGAGGCTAAACGGATGCTATCCTATAGGTCTACTACGAAGGATACAAAAAAGATGAAGGGGGAACCCCATGAGTCAATTCCCTCAAGTACCTGAAACCCATCTGACTCGGTTAGCCCACCCAAATGATCACACGTGACCCACAGCTACTCAGAGTCTGCTCCTTAGAGTGAGAGATGAGAAGGCATCCTTACAAGGGCAAGAAAATCAATTAGAACTACTCAGAATCATATTATGTAGACATATCCACAAACAGGCTTTTTTATCCCTTCTCCACTTGCTTAAAGTATGGTTTGCATCTTGGAGTTTTGGTACCTCACTTGTAACGAGGATGACCGAGTGTATTAGATTCTGTGTACTCTTCCCTAATTGATCAATTGCACGAAAAATTGATGTTAGTGAGCTGTTCTGATGGTTTCTAATGCGGCTTTTAATGAATTCAGACTGAGAAACTGCTTCGGTTGGATTTTGTGGTATCCTTGATACCCAGAGTGTTGTCGCTCTAACAGGTAATTCAGGTGGTGTTGGAGTCCTTAACTTAATAGAGTGTTTTAGCAACTGTTGAACAGGCTGCACCCCAGTATGTAGTTAGTATAGAAATATGAGGATTTAGTGCCATAATCCCTGTACAAACCTTGCAAGCCTGAGCTCCACTACTTCCTATTTAGGACTTAGGACTGTAGAGGTTTAACAGTTATCTGTTGAAGACTTACAGTGAGCCATAATCCTGTTGTAGTTAGAGTATTTATTAGTAATCACCTTCAGGGGACGTCATGTAGCTGTAGAGTTAGTAATAGAGTCGTATGTATGATTGTATTATATTCAATACAAGTAATAACTATGGCATCGCATACCAAACCTATTGAATTCCGGGCATACCAGCCTCGAACTTTACTTCCCAGTCATCGGCAGCGCTCTGTCTTCGAATATGATGATATTGGTAGTCCTCCTTTACCTGTTCAGCCTACAGTTGAGGTGCAATTCAATACCGAAAGGCCTAGAGGATCACAAGTCTCAAGCTGGCAGCACATAGAGAGTTGTGACGCTCAAGGCTCTCAAGCAAAGATGACGCCCCTAACGAAGGACGAAGTACTGGTCCTCTTCCGACTTTGCAATCGAAACGCCGAAGCATTTCAACCAGGGAAGAAGACTGCATTCTGGTCTTATATACAGGCCGATTTCGAAAGGGAGACTGGTAAAGACCACAAGAGTCTCTATCGAGTAGTACAGTGGGAAATCGACAAGAGAAGGAAATACTCAATGGGCTTGGGACTGGACAAACTGATAGCGAGTTGGAATTGACTGTCCAAACTAATAACTGGATTGGGGTTGTTACTGAGAAAAAGCGGATTGAAACACAGTGAAGTGAGGCAGCAAATACTGTTATCACTTCGTCGCAGCGAGCGCTCAATAATCTAGACTTGTTATCCGTTGCTCTTGCTATAAAGCAGAGGCACCAGCAGACTTATCCTCAAAGTTGTAATAGATCCATTGGCCAGAGAGCACGAGAGTGCCCTGGCTTTGACAATCCTGACGACGAGGATATACTAGATGATTCTGCAGAAGAAAGGCAAAGTGAGAACGGCGCTGACA